AGAACATCCCACAAGCGATAAACACCCGATGACACAATGTGCCACCATGTGGATAAGGATCACCGTTGAGAAAGCCAGAGTAGGGCTTCAAATAACGAAATATTTTATCCTTAAAAGTGACCATTAGGTTATATAAAAGCTCCCGACTACAGCTTTAAAATAACGACAAATTGCGTCCCATATTGCGAATGAAGATAATTAGTTAATTACAAACAATGACAAATAGGTAGGTAGGTAGGTTGTACCCCACCAGGACATCACACAAGTGATAGGCACCCGATGACACAAAGTGCCACCATGCGGATGAGGATCACCAGTGAAGAGGTCCCGGAAACCGCGTTCAGACGTAAGACCATATTTATGGTCGGGTTATATTGCGGCCCCTGGCTAGAGCTAGGGTGCGGCTTCAATATATCGAAAACTTGCATCTGGCAAAGATACGACTAAATAATTACGATAACAGACGTTGCATGGTCAAAAAAAAAAAAAAAAAAAAAAGAAGACATAGCAAGTGATAATAGAGGAATAATAATAATAATTAATAATAGTAATAATAATATTATTAAGAGAAGGAGGAGGAGAGGAGGAAAATTAGAAGAAAAAGAAGAAAGTATGTTTAGTCGTCTGCCTGCTTCTCACACCATCTATCTAATTCTGAAAAGAAAACCATTTTTCGAAACCGATTCTCCGGCTTGTCTCCCTTCGATTGTCGATTTCCCATGTTTAAAGACAGGTTTTGTTTGTTCTCAAATGTCTACCTGTGCCAGCTATCGATTCCTTCCCCAGGTAAGTCGTGTCTGCAGGTGGAGCATGTGGGCTATTATCTTCGCCTGGGTATCTATGGCAACATGCTCGCCAGGTATTTCTTGAGATAAAGGTAGACCCTTGCTAGATACAAGGCGCCGAAGCCTTAGGGAGAGAGAGTGGGGGGGGGGGGTGGTGCCCTTGAGGTAGTATTAGTAGATTTTTACCCCACTAGGACATCACACAAGCGATAAACACCCGATGACAAAATGTGCTACCATGTGGAGAGGTCCCAGAAACCGCGTTCAGCCATTAGACCATATTTATAGACGGGCTATATAGCCACTCCTGGCAAGAGCCAGAGTAGGGCTTCAAACAAGGAAAAATTGCATCTCACAAGGATTTGATTGTATTTAAATACTTACCCTTGAGGGTCTCAAATTTTTTAATAAGTAAACGTTAAAGACCTTTTTTTCACACCCTCAGGTGTATTGGGCACATAGGGCTAGACCTATATTTTATAGACCAATCGGCACTGGGTGAGGGACTAATGTGGCCAACTTCCCAAGACTTTCCCTGGTATCCGTTTAAAGCTGGGTCGAAATGGGAGCAAAGTTCATTAAAAAAATATGTCATGCTCCGTCCGGATTTTGAACCCACGACCTTCGGATCCGCAGACTAGTGTTTATCCGCTACACCACTTTAATAAGATAAATACATTCTTTCACAAAATAATGATTTGTTTAAACATTTAATATTCTTTTACATATATTAGGCTATCCTCCGAATAGCGGTCCAAAATTTTCGAGGCTAAGAAAATACCCTAACAGGGCCTCAGTCGTATGTAAATCTTTCCGGCGACTATACCGCAAACCGCGCAAAAGCACCCACCGAGTAAAGGCACCGCCGAGAGTTTCCCCCCTCGCCGCCGCGGCGCGGAGGGGGGGGGGGGGGGGGGGGGGCTAAACTATATGTATGGAACTCACGAGATGCAGCTACCTCATCTCCTGCAGCTTCCTTCATGTTATTTGCTCGTGAGTCCCAGCCATCTAGTTTAGCCCCCCCCCCCCTTTCCCCCGTTTATTATAGATTATTATAGCCTGGAGAGAATGAGGCACCTGGGTGTAACCAGAGGGTCTGGCTGGCTCACTACACTCAGAGGAAAGGCAAGACGGACATGTAACCAGATTGTGACCGGTACCATCAGCATTGGAACTCTACAGTGGCTGCTGAAGATGAGCACGGAGCATGCATGGGAATGCCCCGAGTGCTGAGATGTCAGTTCTTGACTCAACTTAACTCAGATTAACACAAGCTGGAAAGGAAAAGCGGTGGAGGGAGACCGAGAGAGAAGATGGTAGACAGTTTGACACCAAGTCATCAATGATCATCTGTATCAGAACTGAATTGAAGAGAGAGAGAGAGAGAGAGAGAGAGAGAGAGAGAGAGAGAGAGAGAGAGAGAGAGAGAGAGACAGACAGACAGACAGACAGACAGACAGACAGTCAGACAGACAGACAGACAGACAGACAGACGACAGACAGACAGACAGACAGAAGGTTGTGAATTGCGACGACTACCAACGCGACGCGGCTTGGAAAAAAAAAGACAAAGAAGCATACACAAAATTATCACTAATTTATATAGTCGAATCATGTGTCAAGAAAGAAAAGTGACGAGAAGTGTACACGGAAGAAAAGCCAGACGATTATCTTGAATGTCTGGCCCCGCCTTTCTGTTCTCTAGTGCGTGTTTATGAGTGTGCATGCCTGAGTGCATGTGTGTTTTTGAGTGCACGTGCCTGTGAGTGTGTGTGTTGTGTGTGTGTGTGTGTGTGTGTGTTCGCGCATGCCGGCACAACAAACGTTTACTGCGCGTCGTGACAAAGACATCAACAAAGATTAATAATTTTCCCAGACATATCTGGCTGTCTTGACTTCGATTTCTGATTGACGTCACAAGGTGAGATAGGCGTCGCCACTAGTGTTTACCCAGACGGCGCTTGATTGACACACGAACATGTCTCCTTGGATGTCAAAAGACACAGCTGTTAGGTTTATTTCTTCTTCTTTCCTTTCTTTACTCCTGGAATACATGACGAAGTCAGAGCAGGAAGAGATCCAAAGACTACTTGTAGTTATGGCAAAAGCTCCAGAATCTTCCCTCACAATTCTCCCTCCAGACTGAGCCGTGAAAGCACACGAGCTTTTAACGTGGCGGATTACAGAACCATCTGTGTAAATGACAGCATCACCCTCTAGAGCGTTCTCCAAAATCAAGGCTTGAACTTCTGCTTCCACAGCAGCCGGACTCTGTTGTCTGCATTTTCTATCTAGTTGGATGCAAACAGAAAAAGATGTATAGCACTCTGAAGGCACTTGCACCCACTCCTCGCGCGGGTTCTATGTCCTCAAGTGAACATACCTGTAAAACAATGTCCTCGGCTTGACCCATCCACTATTTGCCTCTTTTTAACCTGTTGCCTTTTATCTTCTTAATTTGACTATGTAATGGATGTTGTGTGTCCGCCTTGACTGTGAGGTAGGCACGCGCTCGTGGAATGTTTTTTGTGTTCCATGGTCAGAAAATCGAGAAGGAAGCGCATAGCTCTGCATGCTGTATCTCTTGTACACCCCAGTATGATGCGCATAGCCTCGTTCTGTATCCTTTCCCTCTGCTTATGGCTGGGAGTTAGGAAAATGTGAATATTTATTGCTGCCAAATGGTGAGGAATTTGGACAATGGACATACCATTTAAATGTCGAATTTAGGCTTTAGGGATATGGAAGCAAATTTAAAAAAAAAATCCCCCCCCCCCCCAAAAAAAAAAAAAAAACTTCCTCTTTGTTAAGGTTCTTAAGCGGACAACTCTCGCAGAAAGTTTTTGGTTGTTCGTCCACGCTTGGACTTTGGTCCGTTTTACAGATGTGGCTTACGTGTATGCACTGCTGGTTCCTTGTCTCTAAGGCAGATACATTGCGTCTTTGAAGAAAACACCCCTAATTAGTGGTCTCCTATGACATGCTTGCAAGAGGGACATTGGGTCTATTTTTGGTTCTCCAGAACGGAGCCCTAACGCCAGCGGAAACATTCAAAAGCCAAGGTTCTGATGAAAGACAAAATAAGAAAAGTGTTGTTAATATTTGAAAAAAAAGCACACCTGAAATATTTTGGTCATGTTCACATATTTCATCATTTTTCTTTATGCCAAGTGACACATGCGGCTTCAGAGAGGACTTTCTGTGCTTTCCTGTCCTGTGCAATCTTCAGTATAGTTTTCCATGTCAGAGATGCCGCACTCAGGTCACTTTCCATCGTTCGTCTCCATGTTGTTTTTGGGCGCTCTTTCTTTCTCTTTCCCTCTGGTGTCCAAGTGAGAGTGTTTTGGCAGGTATATCAGGATTCATTCTCATGACGTGGCCAGACCATTTCTATCTTCTCTTGGTAATCATACTGTCTAAAGTTTCTTGGTTTGTGGCTTGAAGTAGTTTAGTGTTTGAGATTGTATCTGGCCAGAAAATTTTGATAATTCTACGTAGACATGTGTGGTGGAAGGTGGACAGCTTGTGTGCTTTTTGGTCATTCTCCAGCATTCAGCTCCATAAAGAAGAATAATGCTATTGTAGACTCGGAGTTTTGTTCCTCTTGCAGTAACTGTTGGATTTCCAGATTTGCCTCATCCTTCCAAAAGCGGCTCTAGCTTTGTTCAAGCGTGATTGTGTGTTTTCCTCTCTTCCTCCCAGTTCAAATATGTAGTCCTGTTCTAAACCACAGTGTGTGGCAAATCTGAAGGCAAGCGTTAAAAGGTTGATAGTTATACAAGTGGGTTACTAATATTAGGAGAGAAACCAATAGCAGTCTAAGACAAGAAATGCAATCTATTGCAACCAACCTTAAATGTGAAGACGGTTCATGATCGAGAGAAAGATAAAACACTTTTCAGGCATCCCACTTTTCAGTTGTCTTTTCCCTTGTGGATTCTGGAGCTCTCTTGTGTAGAAAAAAATTATATACTCACTTCCCCTTCCAACAAACATGACGACCAATTGGGGAGTTTCCAGCGACTTCAGAGTGCATCTGTCACAAGAGTAAAACGGCTGTGCAAATACAATTGAAATTCCAGAACAAGACAAGTCCAGAAGTAGACGAACAACCAGAACTGTTCGCCGGAGTTTACAGCTGGCGAAGGTGAAGAAGAAGTTGCCACCGTTATGAAATTATTTAAACAAGATAAGAGACTGAGAAGCGTAATAAAACTAACACAATGTTGACTTGAGACAATGAACAATGTCGACAAACATATTTATGAGTTCATGTCTAAATCTAGACCCGGTGATAAAATATAAAAGAAAGTTGAGAATGTTGTTAAAATACATAACAAGAAAAAGTAGCATATACACAGCATTATCGCGAACAGTTATCTTTCTTTCGTCTTTGAAATTATGGTACAACTGATATAGAACAACGGGTAAATTACACAAAACGTAAGATGTGTTGATAAACACGAGTGTGACGGTCAGGGACATCTCCTTAGATCGGCCATTGTTATCTGGCTTCTTCTTCACACTTTCATTTCCCGCTCCAAGTTTTTGCTTTAGGCGGTTAAGAATGCCTTTGGGGTGATCCCTGTTTCTTTGAAACATTTTATTAACACGATTTCTGCTTCGAATAACAGACGAAATTATGACGACATTGCAAATGATCAAAACAACGGAGGGGAAAATTCCGTAGGCTGCAGTGTCAAGGAAGAAATTCAAAAATAAAGTCCCTGGAGTTGTGCGCGCCAGGACACAGATTCTTGTATGTGTGATGTTTGTCTGGGGTACTGTAAAATTTTGATGCCCGAGCATAAACGGCACAAACATCGTAACACCGCCCCAGAGAAGGACAATGAGGAGCACGAAAACCTGTGGGGAGTTTGGGAATGAAGATATTTAGCACACTGTGAATATCAAGATTGGCATCAAGGATACGGTTATGTAATAATGACAAGAGGGAAGGTATACAAGAATGTTAAACATATTACTACCACCACCACCACCATTACAACAGCAACTGTTACTACTACAACATCTGCTGTTGATGTTGTCGCTACTACTGATGCTGCTGTATCTACTACTACTACTACTGCTACTACTAATGCTGCTGCTATTGTAACTGCTTCTGCTGCTGCTGCTACAACAACAACAACAACAACAACAACAACTACTACTACTACTACTACTAATGCTGCTGCTGTATCTACTACTGATATTGTAACTGCTTCTGCAGCTGCTGCTGCAACAACACAACAACATCAACAACAACAACAACAACTACTACTACTACCACTACTACTACTAGTACAACTGACTGCTGCTGCTACTACTACTACTACTACTACTACTACTACTACTACTACTACTACCACTACTACTACTACTACTACTACTACTACTGCTGCTGCTGCTACTGCTTCTGCAGCTGCTGCTGCAACAACACAACAACAACAAAAACAACAACAACTACTACCAATACAACTACTGCTGCTGCTGCTTGATGCTACAACAACAACAACTACTACTACTACTACTACTACTAATACTACTACTACTACTACTACTACTACTACTACTACTACTACTACTACTACTACTACTACTACTACTACTACTACTACTACTACTACTACTGCTGCTACTACTACTACAACAACAACTACTACTACTACTACTACTACTACTACTACTACTACTACTACTACTACTACTACTACTACTACTACTACTGCTGCTGCTGCTGCTTCTGCTGCTGCTGCTTCTGCTGCTGCTGATGCAACACTGCTACTTGTTCGTTTTCTTCTTTTTCTTTTTTGACTACTGCCATCACTCATTCTAGAGATTCTCCTTGTTTTCCTATGCCCACCACAATAACCACATGCAACGAAAACAAATTCTCTAGAAACTAATACTCAAACAGTAAAATTATCGCAAACACACCTTCGCACTGGCAGCTGAACACATGGCCTTGACCTTATGAGGCCTGGCTGTAGAAATAGCCCTTTCCACAGTGACCGCCAGTAAGGTCCAGCTGCTACATTTAGTGGACACGCCCAGTGTCCAGTAGTACAGGCAGCAGATGTTCATATCTCTAAAGATATCTCGTCCAAGCTCTGACAACCGGAACATACTGCAGAAAAAAAAAATATGTTTGTTATTCGACCTTTGCTTGGTTATTGTGAGTTTCGGTAACCTACCTCGGCTATATCAATGATTTGAGGTGAATTATGTTCCTGTTCCATAGTTTTGGTTTCAAGATGTATGACAGACCTGGCTAATGATGACATCTTATTGCCTAGTTGGTCATGCATTTAAGTACACTTGTTCCTGCTCGGATTCCATCTTGAGCAAATCTCTTAGCTTGTGGCGACTGATAACACTAGTTCTCTGTTAGTTTATTATCTTTGGCTACTGTATAGTGTTTGTATCTGGCAATACCGCTTTTAACATGAAGTTCTTGTAATCTTTTTTAACATTGCCAATTAACTGTCGTCTCCTGAATCATCTTCTTATCCTTGAGAGTATTGAGAACATTGCTTGTCCGGTACTTACCGTGGACAAACCAGCAAGCCAATCGTTCATTCCCTGTGACCCCACAGTGACCTGGTACAAATATGAAACTGATTCCTGTCAGACGAGATTTCGTCAGACTCCAACCATTGTCCTCGAACTTACCTTGTTCTGAACCATGATTATGGCGTTCATAATCTCTTTTAAAGGGTTAATTTAATGTCTGGTTGCTAATAGACGTAATTGTTAGTTAGTCTTTCCTCTTGAGCCTGGGGCGGCGCATAGGGCAGAGGTCATAGCTCTCCGTGTTCGTTGCCTCCTGTTTGAAGTCCTGGATGTTAGTTAGTCCCATGGTTGAGCCTTCCCTAATGATGACTCTACGTAGGGTCTCTCTCGGTCTTTCCCGTTTTCTTTATCCTTCCTGTGTCCATATGAATTCTTGAGGGAGAGTCTGGTCTTATCCATTCTGAGTGCATGGCCCATGTAGTTTCGAAAGCTCTGAATCAATGATAAGGTAACCCTACGTCCCTTTTTTACATTGGCAGTCTCATTTTTAGGCGCATCCCGTCAGTCCCGCCGGTACTCCAGAAAAGCTCAATTTGTCCTGTTTTATAAAAATTTGGGAATAACCTCGAGAATAGAGTTAAATTTACAGTTAAAGAGAGTATTGTCTCGTATATTTATCGGTGGCAATGGTCTGGGTTTTAATTCCATTGTCAAGCACAAGAAATTTACTCTTTCCCCCGGTGACCTAAAAACAAACAAATTGTGTGTGTGTGTAAGGGAAAAACAAGGGGGGGGGAGGGGGGGGGGTAGGGGTATAACTGACTTGCTTGGGAGGGGGTTTGCAGGTTCAAAACATTAGAAGGGGGGTGATATCCCTTTCTCAGCCAGGGGATATTATTGGTATAACTGACTTGCTTGGGATGTCCCGTTTGCAGTTCAAAACATTAGAAGGAATATCACCGTGATATCCCTTTCTCAGCCAGAGATATTATTGGATACTAACCTGACTAATCCAGCCAGAGATATTATGGATACTAACCTGACTAATCCAGCCAGAGATATTATGGATACTAACCTGACTAATCCAGCCAGAGATATTATGGATACTAACCTGACTAATCCAGCCAGAGATATTATGGATACTAACCTGACTAATCCAGCCAGAGATATTATGGATACTAACCTGACTAATCCAGCCAGAGATATTATGGATACTAACCTGACTAATCCAGCCCGAGAGATATTATGGATACTAACCTGACTAATCCAGCCAGAGATATTATGGATACTAACCTGACTAATCCAGCCAGAGATATTATGGATACTAACCTGACTAATCCAGCCCGAGATATTATGGATACTAACCTGACTAATCCAGCCAGAGATATTATGGATACTAACCTGACTAATCCAGCCCCAGATATTATGGATACTAACCTGACTAATCCAGCCAGAGATATTATGGATACTAACCTGACTAATCCAGCCGGAGATATTATGGATACTAACCTAACTAATCCAGCCAGAGATATTATGGATACTAACCTGACTAATCCAGCCCCAGATATTATGGATACTAACCTGACTAATCCAGCCGGAGATATTATGGATACTAACCTAACTAATCCAGCCAGAGATATTATGGATACTAACCTGACTAATCCAGCCCCAGATATTATGGATACTAACCTGACTAATCCAGCCAGAGATATTATGGATACTAACCTGACTAATCCAGCCAGAGATATTATGGATACTAACCTGACTAATCCAGCCCGAGATATTATGGATACTAACCTGACTAATCCAGCCAGAGATATTATGGATACTAACCTGACTAATCCAGCCCGAGATATTATGGATACTAACCTGACTAATCCAGCCCGAGATATTATGGATACTAACCTGACTAATCCAGCCCGAGATATTATGGATACTAACCTAACTAATCCAGCCAGAGATATTATTGGATACTAACCTGACTAATCCAGCCCGAGATATTATGGATACTAACCTGACTAATCCAGCCCGAGATATTATGGATACTAACCTGACTAATCCAGCCAGAAATATTATGGATACTAACCTGACTAATCCAGCCGGAGATATTATGGATACTAACCTGACTAATCCAGCCAGAGATATTATGGATACTAACCTGACTAATCCAGCCAGAGATATTATGGATACTAACCTGACTAATCCAGCCCAGCCAGATATTATGGATACTAACTTGACTAATCCAGCCTGAGATATTATGGATACTAACCTGACTAATCCAGCCGGAGATATTATGGATACTAACCTGACTAATCCAGCCAGAGATATTATGGATACTAACCTGACTAATCCAGCCAGAGATATTATGGATACTAACCTGACTAATCCAGCCCGAGATATTATGGATACTAACCTGACTAATCCAGCCAGAGATATTATGGATACTAACCTGACTAATCCAGCCAGAGATATTATGGATACTAACCTGACTAATCCAGCCAGAGATATTATGGATACTAACCTGACTAATCCAGCCCGAGATATTATGGATACTAACCTGACTAATCCAGCCAGAGATATTATGGATACTAACCTGACTAATCCAGCCCCAGATATTATGGATACTAACCTGACTAATCCAGCCAGAGATATTATGGATACTAACCTAACTAATCCAGCCAGATATATTATGGATACTAACCTGACTAATCCAGCCAGAGATATTATGGATACTTACCTGACTAACCCAGCCAGAAATATTATGGATACTAACCTGACTAATCCAGCCGGAGATATTATGGATTCTAAAATGACTAATCCAGCCGGAGATATTATGGATACTAACCTGACTAATCCAGCCAGAGATATTATGGATACTAACCTGACTAATCCAGTCGGAGATATTATGGATACTAACCTGACTAACCCAGCCGGAGATATTATGGATACTAACCTGACTAATCCAGCCCGAGATATTATGGATACTAACCTGACTAATCCAGCCAGAGATATTATGGATACTAACCTAACTAATCCAGCCAGAGATATTATGGATACTAACCTGACTAATCCAGCCGGAGATATTATGGATACTAACCTGACTAATCCAGCCAGAGATATTATGGATACTAACCTGACTAATACAGCCAGAGATATTATGGATACTAACCTAACTAATCCAGCCCGAGATATTATTGATACTAACCTAACTAATCCAGCCGAAGATATTATGGATACTAACCTGACTTATCCAGCCAGAGATATTATGGATACTAACCTGACTAATCCAGCCGGAGATATTATGGATACTAATTTGACTAATCCAGCCCGAGATATTATGGATACTAACCTGACTAATCCAGCCCGAGATATTATGGATACTAACCTCCAGACTAATCCTAGCTGGCCCGAGATATATTACTAACCTGAGATACTACTAACCTGACTATTCCAGCCCGAGATATTATGGATACTAACCTGACTATTCCAGCCCGAGATATTATGGATACTAACTTGACTAATCCAGCCTGAGATATTATGGATACTAACCTGACTAATCCAGCCAGAGATATTATGGATACCAACCTGACTAATCCAGCCAGAGATATTATGGATACTAACCTGACTAATCCAGCCCGAGATATTATGGATACTAACCTGACTAATCCAGCCAGAGATATTATGGATACTAACCTGACTAATCCATTAGTGAGTGTTAGAGTGTCACAAATTGCAACAAATCGCAAGTAGACGGACATTGCTGTGTTGCGGAAGGGTTTTCTACTCATCACCGCCACGGAGATGGGATTACAGACGTAGCCAAAAGTCAGCAAGATGACGGAGAAGAATTCAATAACTGTGTATGTAGACTTAACAAAAAAGTCCACGCTGTTTGGTCGTGATTCTGGACTGCTGTAGATTGTCGTAAAGTTGACATAATTGTCGTTGAAGGAAAGCTGTTCCATTTTTCTGCAGATGAGAAGGAAAGTATACACGAAAGTACATAGTACATTTATATCTCATTTATAGCTATGATGATTGAACAAGATATTAGGTCTATTTACGACAGTTACTACTACTTCTGCACGGCTGTAACAAGCATGGCATTCTCATCTTAAGAAAATAATTTACAATGAAATAGATGAGAAATCGCAAAAACCCGCTTTAGCAGTACAAAAGATGTATGGGCATCGTGCAGTTAAGCAGTAACCTACAGTGCAATGTCAGCTGCTTTCAAAGTGGGTCTGAAAGCTGATCAAAATTGTTTCAACGTACTCAAGTTTTAACCCCGTCAACAAATGCTTTGTGAAGTCGGATATATCTGCCGATAGCGCAAGCTTTGCTCTAAACGGTCACAAGGCAATTACGACACTTGAAAGCACAAGAAAGAAGAAGTGCTAAAGTTTTACCTGGGAGTTGAGATTTCACAGAACTACCCTCTTCCTGTATCACACGCGACTTTCAGTTTCTACTGTCCAAACGTGTTCTGGATATTTCATTTAGACACCTTTACTTACAGATACGTAATTTTTGTTTGTAACTGTGCTATGTTTCATCATGTGCCGACGAAGAATTTCTAACCGCAGAGTTGATTTGTCGTTTGTGATTGTGAAAATATTCTGCTTCAATTTTTGCATTGCTATCTGTTCATGGAATTGGCATTTCTTCCATTTATTTGTATCAACTAAAACGCTTCATTTTCTTTCACTTTAATTTCTCTGCTCACGGTTGTACAATTTATTTAACTACAATTTCAGCGGGTCAAATTCACATGTTCAAACAAGGCCTTATAAAAACAATTTACCAGTTTAATCGATCTCATAAAGTTTAGAATTGGTTTCCTAATTTTCCACGAATTAAACCTCACGAGAACCAACCGGCAACTGGAAAATTACTTTTTTTTTAAAATAATGAAGCTGATTTTTCCCGATGTGCAGGTCATAATTGCATTTAAACGGCCGTGAAAAGGGATTTTTTTTTAGAGAAATATTTTAATTTGGTGAAGATGAGTTATCAAATGGGTATTTATCGTGTTAGTGACGATGAGTTATCAAATGGGTATTTATCGTGTTACAGACGTGCCTTGAGTTTGTTAAAGTTGTAGAGATAAACCTGATAATTGGACATTTCTCAGACACGAGTAAATTCTTCGTTGAAGAATAATGGACTCGAAGCTTTTAACACAGACTTTAAATATCTCATTATGATAAAATCAATTGACATGGTTAGATTCCCCATGTGGATTCCGGGACGTAATTGGGGGGGGGGGGGGGGAGGGGGGGGATTGGGGGGGTAGGGGGGGGGGGGGAGGGGGTGGGGGGGGGGGAAGGGGGAGGGGGGGGGGGGGGGGGGGAGGGGGGAGGGGGGGGGGGGGAGAACTTCCAGGAGAACCTTCCAGCTTCCTCAACAAGCGTGTCGTAAAAGACGACAACTAATTGAGAGTTTACTTAAATCTGATTTGTTGGACTAAAAGGCGCAGATTGTTTAGCCTGGCTCTAAACTTACTGAAATCTGATTTGTTGGACTAACAGGCGCTGATTCTGCAGCAAATATCTAAATTTACTGAAATCTGATTTGTTGGACTAAAAGGCTGTCCAGAACCAAACGTGTTCTGCAAACGATATTGCAGCTTACCTCGAAACCACAATGAAACGTGCTAACCGCCAAGGGTAAAGCCAAACGCAAAATAAAAACTAATGGCTAGACAGGTTGGTTAGCACAATATCTAGCACTTTGTTGTTGTTGTTGTTGTTGCAAACTGACTTTCACCATGGGAGTAAAATACGATGAAGCACGTCTATGCCGCCTTCGAGGTGGAGATAGGAAACTATAACCAGTTACTCGTAGGAACAATCAGTAGAGGTACCTTGGAGTGGCTGCTGCATAGGAGGACTGAGCACGCATGGGAATTCCCAGTGTGCACTGACGTCGATTGTGATAACGAAACTCTTGGTCTAAATGGACGCTAGGCACGGTCACTGTTTGGAGCCGTGGCAAATTTGTTTTCTACTGCCAGACTGTGGCCGTTGCAGTTTTGCTGCATTTTTAGACTGAAAGGATATAGTTTCGTCACCAGTTTAGCGCATAGCATGACAATGTGAGCTGCGGATTTTAGTTGGTGTTTTTCGACTAGCTACCATGGTAACACACGACCTGGCTACCATGGTAACACACGACCTAGCTACCATGGTAAAACACGGCCCCCCCCCCCCCCCACCCACCCACCCACCCACACACACACACACACAAACACACACAAAGAGAGCAGTATCTATAAAGAGCAAATAGCTGCTAGTCTAACCACTTTAACGATGAAGTGAACAGTTTGAAAATCTGAGCTTCCCCTTTTTCCAGGAAGGCAGTGTAAAACGACCACCAAGTGATTGACTCAAAGAGTCACTATTCGTATGAGGATCCAGCAGAAGCAAATCACAGAAGCCGCCTGTTCAACAGTATAAAATTTATTGTGTATCTTCTACAGGGTTATACAAAACCAATAACAAAATCCATTTCGTCTTGTCCACTGTTTGACTTTACAAGGCGATTTTATGGTAACTTGTTCACCATAGCCTCTGCATGGTCAGTTATCCATACCATTGACGAAATTACCGTAAAGCGGTCTTCTGCCCAATCACCTGCAGTTGTATTTGATCAACATTTTCAGAATTATGAAGTGCCTTCACAATGGCCTAAGCCACATACCCCGGGTAGAACAGTTATATTAAAGTACTGGGCGGCTATGAGGTAAATTGAATTCCAAGGATATTCAACTGCAGGCCCGTGAGCCAGATCTGGCCCTCAGAGACCTAGGAAGTGGCCCTCGGATCATTGCCAATTGTACCGTATAACTGATCTTTCAATGCTGGGACTCAGGCCCTTGGCCCGCAGCGATCCGTATTTTGGTCCCTGAGAAAACTTAGTTGATTGGCCCTGCTGTAGTCCGCTGTGGGTGTGTGGACGATTTGACGGAGCCAGGAAATGCCGAAGAGCTGTTGGTTTCTTTCAACTGATTAAAGTGTTGGGAAGCTAGTCGTTCATCATGTGTACAGATTTAACAGAACTAGTGATTGTGACTAGCCTATATAGTCACCCAATCTGTGGGCTTAAGCACTTTGACCCCTCCCTTCCTATGTGTCTACAGGGACGGACTGAGGCAGGCTCATAATTCTTGGTGGTGGTGGTTGGGGCCTCATGTTTGGAAGGTGGGTGGGGGCAATTATTTAACCAACCAATCACATTCTTTGGTCATGTGATGAGATGGAGAAAACTGGAGTACATTGTGACAGTTGGAGGGAAGGAGAGGCAGAGTGAGACTGAGAGAACAGATGCTGGACAGTTAGACATCATGT